CACCAAGCCAAGGGTTGAGATCCCCTTACCGGTCATCTTTAAAAAAAAAAAAAAAAAAACCACACACAAAATTTAAGGTTAAAGGGGGTTGAATGAAGTATTCCAATCTTGTAGAAAGTGGGTGGGTGGGTGAGTGACAGTAGGGAGGGGAGGGGCAAGGTATGCTCGCTGTTCTAAAGACTTTACCTTCCCTCCAAAGACCACTTCTTCTGCTCTCTCCCAGTGTCGCTGTTTTGACAGAGGCTGACGAACCTGTTTGGCCCCCCTTGCACCTAGGGGGAGAAGAGTCTCCTGCCAAGGACAGGTCTTTGTTGAGTTTGGGTGACTCAGTGACTGTTCTCAGCCCAGCACTGTCTCTGCTATCATTCTTTTTTAGTGGCTGGCCGGTACGGAGATCCAAACCCTTGACCTTGGTGTTATAACATCACAGTCTAACCAACTGAGCTAACCGGTCAGCCACTCATTCTTGTTTTATGTGGTCACCTCCCTGGGCATGAAAAGAGCTCTGATGGTATTTCACACCATCCTGTTATACTCAGCCCTTGGATAAGACTTTTGGGTTCTTGCAAAGACCAATTATATATCTGTCAATACATAACGTTCAGTGTTTACCTAGTCCTCTTAGCCTGAATATTCAATGTTCTTGCCTCTCCTCTAGGGGTGGTATAATTCACTGCTCCCAGTGCCCTGTTTCTGGTCCTATACCCTAACCGTAAGGTTTATGTACACATGGCCATGTACACCTGTGGATTTCTAAAAATCCCAGTCCCCCACCCCTTAATGAGGCCTTGCTAGACTTCCTTTCACAGGTGTCTTCACAATGGAATGTCTTATCTTAGGTTTTTCTTCTGCATCCCCTAAAAGGTGGGAGTCAGGACTCTGTTGGATTCTCTAAAACCAGAATAGGGACTCCCAAATGCCTCACAGGCAAGGCAGAAGCAACTTTATATCTCAAAGTATTAATCTGCTTTCTATGTACCTCCCTTTCCCTCTGGGTAATCTCTGGGATTCTAAATTCCATTTCTTCCTGGCCCAGCCCACATCAAAGCAGAAATCAAGACTCAGATAATCAGCTAGTTTAAGTGGACACTCAGGTGTATATGTACAAAACCACTGTGTCCTCTCTAAAACCTAGATTGGGCTGGCCTGGGGTAAGGAGGAGAAGAGGTGCAGAGGTAACCTGGACTTCAGAGGAAGGCGTGGAGAGACTAGACACCTTGAACTGGAACGGGGGAGTAACAAGCAGAGGGACTAAGACAGGGACCAGAGTGAACCCTCCTCAAGGTGGCCACCGTCCAAAAGCCCTGGGCAGTTGCATGGCCCCTGAGTGGAATGTAGCTGATGCTGACACTTTGTAGGGAATGTGATAAAGTTAGGAGGTGGAAAGTAGGCCCCCCACCATGGTGCAGATGAGTAGCTGGGAAGAGGACCACCTCGAGGGGCAAAGGGTGGAATGCCAGAAGACCAGAGATGGCCTGGAGGGCCTCAGGGCTGTGCATCCAGGGCAGCAGTGGATGGTTCCCAGTGCGAGAATCTAGAGAGCCCATCAAAGCACCACAGGATGAAGGAGCAACAACTACAACATCTGTCACCAAAGCCAGCTTACATCTGAGTCAGCCACATACATCTCTGTCCTCTTCTAATCCCTGAGTACCCCAGCCCAACCCTGGAGAACCAGAAACAGCCACCAGCAAGAGGGGAGGAGTAAATAAGAGGAAGAAAGAGGAAAGGAAACAAACGTGGTTGAGAGGATGGCAGGGAGAGAACTCTATCGGATGAGTCCAAAGTATGGGGTATACACGGGACTAGTCTGCAGACAATACTAGAATAACCAGTTTGATTGAGGATCTCAACTGTCTAAGTATAAAAATGAAATAGTATAATTTTCCTCATAACTGCTATTGACTGCTTCCAGCTGGGGAGCAGCCCCCTTAGAGACATCTCAGTTCAAACCCCAGTTTGTAACTATTTGATTGGAATGGACTTCTTAAAGCATGAATAAACAAAGGGGCTACTCACCTACCATGTACGAGTTGCAATAGGACTAAAATTCCGTCCAAGGGTGGGGAAAGGATGCCCAGAGTGTGAGTCTAAAGTGACCCCTTACTGTGATTCGTTTGATCATCAAACAGGTTACAATTAATTACCAAGTGAGTAAGGATATTTTTCTACCTATTTATATTTCTTCCTTTATGAATTATTGTTACATGTTATTCATCCTTTTTTTTTTTTTTCCTATTAAGGATTTAATGATTTTCTTACCAATTTGCTTGAGCATTTTATATATTAAGGATATTAACTCTTTGCCATATTAATGGCAAATATTTTTTTCTTGGTTTGTC